GCAGTCAGTGCTTGCCGGCGGTGTTTTCACGCAAGCGCAGATCGCTTGTCTCCCTCAAATATGTGAAGATTGCCGAACACCGGTAATTATTTATGTATATAGGCTCAACTATTTTACCTCCTTTTCTTGATACATTCTTTTACCCCACTTTTTGTTATTGAACATTGTATTTACATATTTTATCTCCCAAGTTTATGTATATCCTGGACTAGTTTTGCCCGTCTCATGTTAAACGATTTTGTTGCTGATTTTCTCCTATTGCTTAATCCTACCGACGTAGTATATAACATTCATTGCCTCCTTCACTCACATAAAGACAGCAGTCGTTTCGGAGCGTTGGATAGGTTTACTACATTTCCTTTCGAGTTCTTCTTACAGACAGTTCGCAACACCTTAAAAAGGCCGACAAACCTAGCCGTTCAGGTGCACAGGCGGTTTGTTGAAAGACGCCTGCCTGAGTTGCCAGCATTCCCAATGCTGCTGGGCGACGATGATGGAGTGGCGCGTTCTCTTCAGTCGCTCTGCAGCCCCGGTGCCATTTTTCCCAATGTACACATGATGTCGACTCAAGCGCTGGATAATATGGTATTGATCGGCGGCAGACGGTGTGTACTGACATTTGTTTGGGCTGATGGAATTTAGTATCACCCCTTTTTGATTGCAGGGACTTGTTCACCACGTGCTTTCATCTTCCACATTGTTCTTTACAAAGCATCTGTTTTAGAAAACCTTCCCTCCACCGCTACCCTTGCTGGCACTTTTTTAAAATATGTTTTCCTACAAACTGAGGACGGTTTTTATTTCACCCCCCTTTGACGCACATGTACTGCACAATGATTTTTTGTCCCTTACCATTGTTCCACCCTGAAACTCAATGACCGGTTGAATGGTGCTGTATAGTTCCGCGCGGATGTACTCTGTAGTGGATTGCGTGAACAAAAATTTTTCGCAGAGGTGACTAAGGCATGGCTTTTTGATATAAACCGCGTCAATTGGCTGAAGAACGATAGACAACGCAACCTTCTTTTGAAAACAACTGAGCCACCATCAGACGGAACGACAGTCTATCCGGTTAGGGTCCTGATGAGGGACCTGACTCGGAATAAAGCACGGCGGTTGGCTCAGAGAAACGAAGATGCGTGGGGCCTATCAAGTTCGGAGTCAATGGAGTTGGGCAGAGGGTTGAGAACGAAGCAGGCTCCATACGTAATAAATAATTCTTTAAAGTTTCGCATGCCAACTTACTTCCGAATCGGAGGAAGATGACAAGGAAGGCGATCATGACATAGTAGACAGCTATAGACAGCCGGAAATGCGACTCGCTGGTTGGCAGCAGCAACACCAATACTTCAGTTGGCAGCATTTACTTTAACGTTTTGTAGGTTAAGGCCTGATAAAGACGTACCTTCTTCCTCCGCCGTGTAAGGAAGGCCCTACCGTTCACCAACCCCCTTCTTTCGGCAAGTAGTTATACTAATTTTTCATTTCAGACTGCTAACTGAGAGGCAGAAATCAACGATCTAACGTGAACTGCCTACATCGAGACACAAGAAACGGACCATTCTGGGGTAAGGACGTTCTCCATGCCGTTTGATTAAATTCATTTAGTTAAGAAGTGAACAACATAGCTCAACAACATGCCGTCATTCTTCGTGAGCTACAACAGCAGCGGGCCCTGCGCATCAAAAAGCTGAGGTGAATATTAGCCTCTATCGTCGTTATGAGCCAAAGGCCTCCTGCACTGTGCATGCCGATACGCACCAAAGACTCCTTGGAAGACTTTGTTGACAAGCTTGATAATGAACCTCGTGGTGCTGTTGGCAAAAAAGTGATACGTAGGATAACGGGTTTCTCAATGAAAGTCCCGTTGAAGTGTCGTAAGGATCTAGGTATTATTGATTACGAACCATTTTTCAAAATCCGAGCGGGCCCTCAGATTGCCCAGTATACAGAAATTTAGAAAAAGGCAAATCTACCAAGAGTCGAAAATTTCCAAACGACTTTGAAAGGTGCGGTCGTCAACAGCACTTGTGGATGCCCACGATCTGTTGGGAATAAGTACTGTAAAAAGTGCTTCAAAATGCCCATCGCTTTTTATGTCGCAGATGCATGCTTCCTAATCATTTTCCAAGGTTCGCGTAAGTTGGCGGCATGCGACATTTATGTGAAACAATTACGAGTCGCATTTATTTCTGTAGCTGTCGTGTGATAAAAAAGTTTAGAAATTCACAATGGTATTCTCGACGAACTCCTTGTTTCGTATGTAAAGTCAAATATTCGTGGTAGAATACAGCAAGGTTTTCGCCACTGGTTCTGAGAACAGAG